GCTGTCAAGGTGGGCAATAGGCCACATTTTTTAAACCGTGAGCGGTCTACTTGAGTTCATATTTGTCCAAAGAAGTCAATGTTACTAGTAAAACTCGTGTTGAGGAGAATGCCAACGCTGCTGATTGCTCTATTATTAGAATTTCTTCCAAGGAACAGTTCTTCTTAGGTATCAAAGACAGCGTGAAATGAGCGGCGAGTTCTCATCTCGCCTAGTCTGATGACCTTGTTTTTTTAATCTTCTTAGCCTCCACCACCAAGTACTCAATGAAGGATTCAGATGTTATCGAGCGCACATTATAACTACAGATAGTCGCCTCATTCTTTTCATACATAGACAGTTTAAAATTAGGTAGAATTTTTTCGCGCTTAAGTGCTTAATTTCTTTGATCGCTGTGATGTTGTAACATCTTCTCTGACCATTCCTTGTTCTCGTCACATTTGCATGGACTTCCGGTTGTCATACAAGGAAACTCCGTGAGTGCTTCTTTTCTGATTAAGTTTCGGGTTAATTATTGATGCTTTCTGGAAACAAGTAACGGATAATGATGGCCACTGGTTTTCATTTGATATCGGCGAGCATCGCCATGATAACGAAGAATAGAGATTTATCACAAAATCAATAGGCCGAAGACCGCCAACTTTTTTCGAGAAATTCCTTTCGCATAATACACCATTTATTTTATTTATTTCAACGACACAGAACCACATATTGTACGGATCCCAGTATCTTCATTTAACTAGCTTTTTGGCATCCATAACAACGATCTTCACGTTTGCACGTGGTTTTGATTGCCGCCGGAGAACTTTGTTTTCTTAGTAGATTTTCTCCTGGAATCCTGAGCTAGCTGTGCCATGGCGTTTCCAGCTCTTTATCACAAGTGGTCGCTAACACTTGTTGATCGGAAGAAGCCTTTCCAATAAATCTGGCTACTAACTCGCCGACTCCTAGAAGACAGACAGTTTGCCTGGCGCGGGACACGGAGTCGAAGTAGCCACGTTGTGGATACTATTGAACCGTATCTCTAACCAGTGCTATTCTCGCGTCTCGGCGTTGCACTATATCAATAAAATGTAGACGTATACAACGACAAAGGTGATGAGATATTAGCAAACTCGGAGTCTAGTGGAATCATTCCTGTTGACGGGTGATTGCTGACGTTACCGTTAGAGTAAAAAATTGACTGAGGGAAAGGCAAAGCACTGGTCTCGGTGGGTATGGTGGATAGTACGTGAAGCCTCGGAAAGGGTGATCGCAGGTTCGAAGCCCAACTGAGGTGCCGAGTTTTGCTCATATCTCAGCATTCTTGTAGTTTTATTTCACGTAATACCCTCCAGTGAGAAGAAGAATCGCCAGCAAATGAAATTAAACATAGACATGTACATTATGGCCTTGTTGAAATGTTGGTCGGGACAATTAGGTTGTACAATTTCTAGAGCTCGTGTCTAACTTTCTCCATCCTTACTATGTGAAAATGTACTATTTGTTAAATCTGTCGGTGACCACAATGTGGCTCAACTACTGGTTTATAGTTTGTTTCCTGAGAACGCAGGCAATAAAATCGATTAAATTTGAATCATTGCGAATCTCTACGCTTCAGTCTGTAGCGCAGTGGTTAAATGTGGTCTGCAATACGCATTGCTCCCGCCGGTAGTTCTGTCCCGCTCACCAAGTTTTCCATTTATCCAAATGCATCCAAACAGCTCTACGATGTTATGAATGGAGTCGAATGCGTACCACATTCGAGAGCTTTACGGTTTCTCCTTCATCAAATTTCTCTTCATTGGAAAACGTACGACCCTAGTAATTAAGTTATGGGATGAATCCAAGTGAACGCATTCGTTTCGGAATGAGCTCCATCGCTGTCAAAACCATCGCTCCAAAACAACAGTGTATCATACAGCATTTGAATTTAGTTATTTGATTAATATTTGATCTATTAGATTGTTCAGAAATAAATGGGCGTTTTTAACCGCATTATTTTAAATGTTATAACTTGCTTCGGACAGAAATTTATTAGTCAAATTAGAAGCGCTTGAATCTACACTGAATCTACACATCTTTGCCAACAGGAAACAGGTTTATTTATTCCAGTTGCACAAAATTCCGGAGTTCTGGAAGCGATGAATTCGTCGAAGGCATTTTTTGAGTCATCGTGGTTGGTGAAACACTTCTCGCGCAGAAAGTTATCAAGGTGTTTGAAGAAGTGATACAGAGAGGTCTTGCGATTATGGCAGATGAGGCAGAGTTTCATAGCCAAACTCGTTCAACTTCTGCAGCGCTGGTTCCGCAACGTGAAGCCTGGCGTTGCCGTGGAGAAGCATTGGTCCTTTTCTGTTGACTGTTGCCGGTCGTTATAGTTTGAGTTTACGAAGCATTTCGTCGATTTGTCGGTAATACTTCTCTGCAGTAATGGTTTAATGGTAATGGTTTCTCCGAGATTCAAAAAGCTGTAATGAATCATTCTTCCTACTTCTGTTCAGCAAACACGAGGTGTTATTTTATTCCTTTATTTACGTACAAGATAACGTTTCGGCGGATTTCGCCTTCCTCAGAGCCTGGAAAGGTCAAGTTGACTGCAATCTACACGGCCAAACATCTCCATAACCAAACAGAGAAAATGTTGAACCAGAATTTCAATCACATCGAACACAGAGTCTTTGCACACTCACCGCTTTCTATGAGTCTTCCAATAAATATGTCACGTGGAGACCAACCGCACAGAGTTCACACGGAATCGTATTGTGTCCATCTCATCAAAATAACAGGCTTGTATACTGCCTAATATTATGCGTCATAATGAGGCATCCTTCCCTGCGGTTCATTTTCGGATTCTTGGAATTAATCCAGAATGCCTCTAGCGTTTTGCGCGCTTGTGTTCTCGATTCTTGTGCGAGGATCGTAACCCCTACTTAAAAATCCTCTCCGTTATTTCTCTGCGTCCTATGCGTGCCTAGTGGAGTATTTGGTTTACATTTGCCGACTAGGTGTTCTTTTTAAGTACGCAGAGCGGTCTACCCGTTTCGCCAACTTATTCGTCCCCGCACGCTTTACAAGAGATCAGATAGACTGTACCCGAACTCATGCAGTCACCGTCTCCACCATTGGGACAAATTATACAATTTTTCGTTGCACATAGACGGTCGTATAGGCGGTTACGAACTAGCTGGCGTCTTAGATTACTCGGTGGTATTTCGATTATCGTTGCCGAATTCTCTAAACCGCCCCTTCTTAAACAGCGTTTTATAGCCGCACTTACTTCATTTGAAATCAAACTTCATTAATGTTTCGAGTCATCTCTGCTGCACTACGACCGAGAAAAGTCAGCTTTTGACAAAATATGAAGCATGATTGAAAAGCGCATAAAATAAGCTTTCTAATGATCTATCATGTTGCAAGGTACAAAAAATATTTTACTTGTAAAAATACATTAGAACAATACATGTTTTAAAACGCCTTTATTTTTGAACAGCACGGTAGTTGGTCTTCATATTCTCATTAATAAATATTTTTGATGATGGTGTTTTTGTGATGAAAGGACAAATTCTCATCGTAGTACTAATTCTCTCTAACACATAACGGACGACTTGCTCGCAGTGTTCAAACGTGGCTGCGTTGGTGGACGATGTAAACCCTATAGTGTTCATTTTCACTTCACTGCATTCCAGGACTGTTTTATACTTAGATACTTGGATTCTTGGATGGTCCGCCCTCACTGATTGTGCGGAATCCAGCACAACCTCCATTTTCTCGGAGCTTCGCTAGTTTAGACATCGTGGTTCCCTGGAGTCCCGAGGTCAGCCTGGACAAAGTCTGCCCAGGTCACCAGCACAGGCAGTCGCCGCCCTTGTGGATCAGAGCGAGATTCACCACTATGCCACCAGTTCGATACCAGAGCTGTTTTGGATCCTGGTATTGGTTCACTCTTAGCTGGGCTTCCTGATGGAAACGTCTGACAACCTTCTCAGCTTAGGAGACCCTGCTGGGGAATGAATCCTCCCGCTGTACATCGCAGCGCGACACCCAGGAACACCTTCCAGCAACGATAAGACGGCAAACCGTTGGGAGGAGGACTGTTTGATAGCACCATTTATATTTATTTGATGGTGAATCGAAATCAGAGAAGCCATTCTCTTCACTTAGTAAGTTACTAAAAACACCTTTTCGGATGAATCCAATTTTTGGGCATATACCCTAAAATACGACACTAAGGCAGATCGCTTGGAAATAAGGTAATCGAGGAACTATCGAGAAGGAACTATCAAGATTTTTATACCCGTAATCCCGTTATGGATGTATGGCCGACGTTATCAGAATTACAAATAGTGTCTACAAAGCGCTGAGAATCAAAGAAATATGCGAATGTGTTAACATAAGAACATACTCAAAAGGCTGAACATTCGTAGATACTAATATCCACTAATGGATCAGAGATAGCGCAGTGGTTAGCGATGCCGTCGATCAGGAAGCAAAGGCGCTAACTGGATCTCCGTTCCAACGATCTCCGCTAATCCGCTTAGGAACGCCTTAGTCCGGCTATCTCCAAGATTTCAAGAAGAATTGATTTGACCACCATTCTACGCTATTCATAAAGAAGACGAAGTCCTCAAGCAGCACGCGAAACAACATCCAAAGTGTTGGAAAACTTTCGTGGACGATGTGTGCGAGGAAAGACGAGTCGAATCCAAAAACTGCTCGGATCCGCACAGTGGATGTGATGACGGATCATGTGAAGTAAAGTAAAGTAAGTAACATTCACTAATTACACAGTTCTTCTCTTCCACATCACTACAACTTAAAGTATCGTCTGCTCATATGCAGGAGATTTCGTGCTATATTCCAAATTCGGCGCCCCACAGTAATTCCATCATTGAAGAGGACTAGCAACTCATCTCTGCTCTATTGTATTTATTTCGACTAGCATGTACGAAAACTAGTGGTTCGTATCGATTTTCTTCATATACCAGTGCCTAATCAGTTGTAAATTTACTTTACTTTAGATGTCTACTCGTAAAGGTAAGTCAGTGAATAGTCTAAAGGCTCTTGAGAATTGTTTAAACGAGTTAGCCGGCGCTGATGAAGCAGTTGTTCGAGAGGCACTTTCCGCTGGCGATAATCTAAACAACTTCTCTGGTAAGTGGTATCCACTTTATCGATTTTGTTGATCCCACGGTGGATTTGTTCTTTGTTAAGTTTCAGCTCATGTTAAAGAAGAGTTGAACGATGCTCATCGAACTGCTGTTCGTGAATGCATCGAGAATGCAGATAAGTTAACCAATCTTCATAATCAGATACTTGCTTGCGATCAAGTGTTTGAGGTATGCCTCGTCGCTGTTTCTTAAAAGGATAAAGCTCTCGACGTCGGTCAGTCCCTGTGTGCTGCGCCATGCATCCGACTTCATTAAGCATCGGTGGAGGTGATTCAATGCATATCTGGCCTTACAATGACTTGCGGTGGCTCGCCGATGTATAGAGCCAGTGCTGCTATCTTTCCAGACAAGTCTGCTACCAATTTACCTATCCCGTATGGATGGAAGGTTTGGTGGAGCCTAGGGTGCCGGGCCGATCTCTTGTGTTTTGTTGCAGAGTGCCTTCGACCATAGCGGTACACGTGTTGTTTACTACTCTTTCATAAATATGTTTTGACATTTGTTTGTGAATCGATCTTTTCACATGGAATTTATTACATCTTAACATTTTTTTTGTCTGCTTGAATACATCAGCGATCTCTCTTTAATGAATCATAAGAACTCCTACAAGCACAGTACAATGTCCGTTCCACTGTTAATCCACTGGTTGGGCAAAACTTTCCCTGGATTCTCGAAATCCGTGCTCGGACGTTCCCAGGTCGTCACAGCTTTCTAACTAGGACTTGTATTCTTATCAGTAAGGTAGTGAAACTGGTTTACTCTTAGCTGGACTCCTAGATGGAGATGTCGAACTCCTTCCTAGCTTAGGAGATCCTTCTAAGGTCGGCTGACCGTCGTAGTTGTACACGTACCAACATTCTCCGGCCACAATTAGGCAGTAAGGCAATGAAGGACTACTACTTGCTACTCGTCTACGTAGTGTACTTGAGATGCTTTTAATACACATGCAAAGAAGTTGTCGTCTTGAGGTAAAATTTAACAGAATTCGTTATCCTTACACATTCTTTGAGAAATTTAGATTTTTTTCCACCATTTGTCATGATGGTTTAGCGACACCTGTCAAGGCGTAAAGTTATAGTGAGTGTAATCACAACTGAACTTCTTGTTTTATTCGAACTACCTCTACTGTTTTTGTCTATAGGAGTTCTGCAAAATCTTGTAGGTAGAGGGGTGATGGGAACCATCTTCCTCTATGAGACAGGCTTTCTCGCATTAATGGACCACACCCTTCATAGATAAAGTCATTTTGTATGGAAAAGGCGCGGTCCACTATTCTAAGTAAACGTTCATCACCTGTCACATATAATTCCACTAACGGCCGTTTAGCGCATTTGAGCTATCACGCTCCGCTTGATCAAACGGGCACGAGAAGTAGCATGTCTAAAAGCCGGTTCTGGTTTAACTTGGTGACGACCAAACAGTATCTTGGTTTATTGACAGTCTTAAGGAAGGCTGTTAAAAAGCTTTATTATAACAGATATTTCAATGCCTTGGTGCACTAAATAACTGAAAAGAACACTATCAAGTTTCACATAACAAGCTCTTTTTTTGAACTGTTTCTGCAGACGGATACTTTTGCTAGCTGGTGGGGTTTTGCCGTAAAGACTATCTCAATTGTCCCTCTCCGTTCCTGGCACAGGTAGATTTATGAAACAAGATAGGAACTGATTAACTAAGGGAATAAATCAGCAAGTAAACGGTTGTAAAAGATGGTGAAAGTTCGACAAACCAAATCAGATTTGTCTAAAACAATTTGAAGTCAAGGTTTGTGAAACGAATTTGAACGTACAATTTATCCAATTGAATATCCCTTCAAACACATTTCAAGAATAGTGGCGTTTTTTTCCTAGCTGCGTGCGTGTAGCGCAATGGTTAGAGGAGCCATGCGACATACATGGCTTCGATCCCACGCCGCCAAGCCTTCCATCACTCCGGAGTCGGCAAATTGTTACCAGACTTATCTGGAAGGATAACACAACTTATTCGAGTCATCGGTAGGCCAGTGCGATTCATTGTTTAAGTCGGATATGCATTCAGTCACTTCTAACGATGCTCAATGAAATCAGTTGAATAGCGCATCTTTCAGAGATTCTTCAACTCTGAGAGCTTTATCCTTTTTTATTTATCTCCCACTAGTTTACCTTTGGCAAACAACGCAGTGTATCGCAAGAAAAATAGGAATACGTATGTAATATAGTAATAAGGGTATGCTACAAGTGATCTTACCCTTAGTTCTTCATAAAAGTCCTGAATTTTAGGGTGGTTATTTGGGAAAGATTAAACTTGAACGGTGAACGCTTTAGTTAGAGGTGATTTTAATTTGACTGTAGAGACAACCACGTTGTTAGCTTTCAGATGCTTTACAGGCAGATTAATTAAACACATTGATCCAAGTTATGCGCATTTAGGAGATATATTTTTTGACACACATATATACCCATTTTTCAGCGCTTAGAAAAGATGCTTCTTGGATTTCAAGACGACCTTGGAACTATTAGTCAAGATATGAAGCGGTTACAGGACGAATCGGTGTCTATAAACCAGGTGACCATTTCATATCATGCTCCTTCTCCATGGATATCTTACTATTTCTAATTTCACTGAAGGAGTTAGATAATCGTCAAAAGGTGCGCAGTGAACTAAGTCAGTTCGTCGATGACATCATTGTACCACAGAATATGATAAAGTGAGTGGTTTTTAGTTTAAGGTGTTGCTGTTTCTCTTTTCTACTCGGAGCTATGATCCAAGGTAGGCTTAAACGAGGTTGATAAATTATCTTTATTGTCGGCTAACATTTCGACGTCTTCTTCTTCATTAGAGCCGATGATCCGAGTCAATAGTCCACGGGACTGGACTGGATCAACTGTGGACTATCGACTCAGATCGTCGGTCCAGATGAAGGCGAAGATATCGAAACGTTAGCCGAAAATAAAAACCATTTATGAACCTCGTGTAAGCTCATCAAAGAAAAAGTACATATCGATTAGTCATACCGAGGTTGAAGGAAAGTCGGTTTGGAGACGTTATGATCCTAGAATTATCATGGAGACTGATGTAAATGATCGTTCTTTTCTTGAACAATTACACGAACTTCAACATAAGATCAACTTCGTCAAGACTCAGGAATTCAAGGACGCGCGTTCAGTTTACGATGTTCTCGGTGTTTTGGAGAGTCTCAAGTTTAAGGCATGCTTTACATACATTATTGATTTAAATTATTCACACATCACATTTTGTTTTTTCAGGCCATTGAAAAGATTCGAGAATGGATTCTTACAAAGATTTACATGTTTCGAAAGCCTTTATCCAATTACCAAATTCCGCAGCATCAGTTACTCAAGTGTCGCTTTTTTTACGAATTTTTATCTGGGAATGAAAGCAGTATTGCTCAAGAGGTTCATACAAATCTATTTTTTCTGCAGCTTCGTAGCTTAAGTTTTTCATGTACCATAATGACTGTCGTCTGCAGGTCCAAGAGGAATACGTTGACACGATTAGCAAGATGTTTTTCTCGTATTTTAAGGTCTATGTTGTACGTCTATTTAAGTTATTGGTTAGTTTACTAGCATGGTTATTGTTCCATTTGTTCTAATGTTATCGGTAAATTACTCTCAAATGCTTTACTACCTAATCTTAATTAGAAAGGGGATTCCTAGGGGTCAAAATGTGATGCACAACGGGGCTTAATATCGTGGCGGGATTTTCCAAGCTTGCGATTTCGATATCTCCACCCAGTAGCACAGCTAAATGTAACTCAACATCGTGTATCAGAGTTTTCATGATGATAAGATAGGCAGAAAGGTTAAATTCTCTTCCAATTCACTAGGATAGCTGAAAGTTTGGAGGCGGCTTGAAGCAGACTTGCACGAGTTGCTCGAGATTGCAGGGAAATTGGCAAAATCCATATTTAAACAAACAATCTCAGCACCCTATATAAAGGGTTGTGACGTCTGTGACAGTGAGTGAAACAATAATGGACTAGCTGTCAAGTCTCGTGTTACGTCGAAGTCATCAAAAACGGATTAGAAGGCATTAGCAATATACTGCACGAAAAGACAACCAAAAGATGGTGTCTTCGTGACGTGACCATGTCCCATGTTTATATCATGCATCCACCTGAGCAGCAGCGATTCCCATTCAGACGCATGCAGGAAGACAACTGTGATCAACGTTTGCCCAGAAAGAAAAAGACATGTGACAAGAATATTGTGAATGGAACGGTTCTCCCACATGACTTGTAAATTAAAGAGACCGATCGAACACTACCAGCTATTCTTCGAGAGGCTTAAAGGCCGCACAGAACCTGAGCTCTTTATTCAAACGCAGATCTTAATCACACCTATGCTAAAAACCTGCTCGAGAAGAAAAAAAATTAGATCCACTGAAACATTGTTACTAGACACTGGATGCTAAAGCTCCTTTCAGGATTGCAAATATAGAGGAAGAAACGGTCGGAAACACCCCAGAACAAGAGAAATTGCATAGTGGAAAAAAAACTTTCTAAACTCTAGATTACAAGATTCGATCAACAGTGGCAGACAATAACAAGGATTTTCGCAAACGGTTTAATTTAAGCTGGGAGTCAGGAACTAAACTCATTTCTTGCAACCCATAGTGTAATGTTTCCCAATTTTTACTGCAGTTACGCGTAAATCGGAGGAAGAGCTATCAGTAATTTATGGTGCAGGTGTAAACAAATCAAGACAGATAGGTCTGAACGAGATCTTCTGAGGAACAACTTCGAAAATTACATTGCCTTCGAAATGCGAAGCAATATACTTCGAACGTGAAACGTAAGTGAACCGGTTGTATAATGGTTAACAACAAACGGGCATGAAGAATAGAGGAATTGACTCCATTGGTATACAAGCATTTTTTTTGGACGATCGTCTACAAAATAGACAGGCGTATTTGTGCTATCCGCTGTGCTTGCAGCAGATCACCAGATGGACTATGGCGACAGAGCGAATGGGATGAAAAGACGAAGCTTTTCGCGTTTATCAATCTGCAAGGGACACACCGTTAATTCAACTTCACCGAGTACCGCAGAGGTGATTAATGCACACCTAGCCCGTACAGTGAATGGCGATGTCCTACGAATGTATCAAAACTGTATTTTTGTCTTCCCAAGCAAGTATGGTACCATTGTGCCGACCCCGTTGTGATGGAAGGCTTACTGAGTAGGGAGCTGTGTGTGAAACCAGCGGGCGATTCAGTGTGTACTGCAGCGCGTTTCTATTCACTGTTCCACATGAGGCCGATGTGGAGTAAACGAATAGAAAATGTGTTGGTCGCATAACTCCTGAAAGATGCTGAAGTTTTCCAGAATATTTCGAGAACGGGTTTATCATTTTTCTTCTCTTACTTCCTAATAAACCTATTTCAGATGACAGATGCAGCTTCGAAAGAGGACTTGTTGGGAACAGAACACGCTATTAAATCCAGCGGGATCTCTGCTTTGTTCGCTGCAAAACCCCAAGTTGGTCAAGTACATAAAAGTACTCCTGTATTTTCATAACTCAGGACGCTTTTCAGCATAGAAACAAGGCGACAGTGTTTTCCTTGGGTTCTCGGCAGCAGATACTTACACATGACTTCTTGAACCCGCTTATTGTCCCACACGCAGCTCAAGAAGCCAATCAGAAGGCATGCTAACATGTTCTGATGCACATTTTACTTTAGTGATAATATCAGTAACGACCATAACCAATGTTCTTTTCAGTTCCAGTTTGAGGCACTATTCCGCTCAATTCATCTTGCATTTGTGGATCACTGCAGTCATGAATTCCTGTTTCTTACTGACTTCTTCATGGTGTCAGGCCAAACAGCCGTAGATCTTCACGCAAAGGTGTGCATGCAGACTATACTAGATTTTTGACTATTTGATTGCTGTTACTTGTACTCCATTTCACCATTAGCAATTTAGAAGTTTGTGGATAGTGCCAGTACTTGTTCTTTTTCACTCTTCATCAATTAGTATTCGTTTAAATGGATTTACTTCCAAGGTCATGGGTAGGACGATGGCTCATCTGGTTCGAGCCTTCGATGAAAAGATCGCGTTGAATTTCGACTGCATAAGTCTGCATCTATGCCTCTGTCTCTGCGATAAATTTCATCGTTTGTTGACTGAAAGGGAGACTCCATCGATGAGCGGGTAAATCTTAGCACTTTTTCATCCTGTACGGTAGATTCTTCTTTACTTTGAAAAATGTTTAATTCAAACCGCATTACAATCCTGTGCTCTCCGATCTCAGCCGTTGGAAATGAGTTCTTTAGCTATTGGGAAGCAATCTCAAACCAGTTGTGGACGAGACTAGCCCAAGTTATGCAAATGCATAACGCTAGCGTGAAAAGTATTGATGTACGGCACATGCAGACTCCCATTGATACGCGGCCACACTACGTAGGAGTTAAAGTTTTTGCTTTTTCTTTTCTTTTCCTTTTTTTCCTTTTTTCTTTTTCTTTCCTTTTTTCTTTCTTTTTCGAATTTTTATTTTCCTTGGTATTTTTTAGTATGGTGATCAAATATAGTCTTTTCTGCTGTAATCCAGTGCATGTTACTTAGTTCACTAATTTATTACGAACAACTGAATATTGCTTCTTGTTTTTTGAGCGGTATTTTAGATTGTAAGAAGATATGCAGAGCTAACGAGTGGTTTTCTCGTTATTACAGAGACTACTGGACGAGAGGTAGGTTTGTCTTTTTTCTTTCTTTCTTTCTTAATTCCATACAAGAAATTCGTTTATGTCCTTCTCAGGTAGGAAAAAGAATGGAAGCAATTCTGGAATCATGTGAGGACGCTGTAGAACAACTTCTTCTTCGAATGGCATCCAGCCTTTCTTCTCCAAAAGAGCGACTAGTTTTCCTCATAAACAATTACGATCTTATCCTTAGTGTTATTGATGTAAGTTCTACTGATTCGCTTCAGTATTCCTCTATACAGCTTTTATCTCCTCACAGCGTAATGAAGTCATCTATAACGAATCGTCTCTCTGATACGTCTACAAATTGTTACCTCATCGTCGTCATAGTTTATTTCTCTTAGGAGCGAGTTGTTCAAGAGAGCCGCATCCACTCAATCATTCGTGAATTGGAGCAGAAAGCTATTGGAGACTTCGTCGAGGTCCTCATTTTCTTCCCTTCACCGTATTATTTTGAAGCATAAATTAATCACCTTTTTCAGGTAACATTGCAACCACACTTCTCACAAATGCTTTCTTTTGTTACTGAATGTGAACCTCTAGTTCAGCAGGGCCATACCCAATTACTCACCCGGTATAATGGTTAGTATGATCGCCATTGCTACCTCAAACTTATGTATCTTGATAGTGATTCTTATGTTGATAAATTTTGAAGACAAGCTGACAGCAGTGATACAATCATTCTCTGCTAATTGGCGGCGCTCAATTGATACAATAAATGGTGAAGTGGTGAAGTCATTTACAAACTTCAAAAATGGCACAAATATCCTCCAGGTAGTTTTTAAGAGCCGTATAGCATAATGCCGTAGTTTTTGATTTATGTATAATATCTATTTTGCCTTTCTTTCTACCCATTGACGGGTGATTGCGGATAGCACCTATAGGTCAATAACTGAGAGGAAAGCGAAACGAACGACTCGCATGGTTTGGTGGTGAACGCGTTAACCCCAGCAAAGGGTAATAGCTTGGTCGGTCCCCACCGAAGATACCAGCGGCTCGGAGTTTTGCAAATATTTCATCATCATTATGGATAGCATAGTTGAGAACTTAAATTAATTTCCAGGCGGTGTTCACGCAGTTAGTTCAGTATGTGCAGAGGTTCTCAAAGTTGGTATCGCACGAGATTTTCCGCGACAACCCTGCTCGTAACGATATGGTAAACATTCACCATATATTGGTAGAGCTTAAAAAGTATAAGCCAGTCTACTGAAACTATTTCAACTTCTAAACTTGTTTATTAGGCATCCAGTGGGGATTTGTTTCTTTTTTTCCAATGTCATAAAACTTCGTTATACTTTTCACATACGTTTCTCCTTTAACTTGACAAATCAATAGTTCCCACAATGTAAATATTTTGCTAAAAATATATCTGGTTGTAGAACTGATCCACGTGTAACTGATCGTTCTTGAGCTTTGTGAATAATGCCGATCCACTGAGATCCACATCTCTCTTATTCATGCAAATGTACTCGAAAGGACAAATAAATCAATATTTCACTCGATGTGATTTTTTTACATGAAAGACTACTTGTTAATTTAGTGCACATTAACAGTCGACGAACTGAAATATTTCATTTTCAGTTGTACATCAAAACAGTTGCACTGGAATACCTGTTCATAAAGTTATAAAGGAGCACACGTTACAAGGAATATTATAGGTACAACATTGATATGATATCTATGTTGCTCTTAACACTACAAGTCCAAAGTCTAATTCAGTGGTGCAGCTTGTAGCCCGCCGACATTTAGCTTTTAGCCGCATGCACAATAAATTGTAGTGAATTCATGGAGGTTAATCTGCCATCCCACACACGAGTCATATATACCCTTCTCATCAGCAGTAGTTACCCGCGCTATTCGGTCGGTACAAGAAGAAATCGTTGCTGAACGCATCCATAACGTATGGAAATATCAGCACCGTCTGCACCTATGGCATCCTGGGAACCACTGTAACCTCCTCAAGACACTCTGAGTTACGACGAACATTTTTGTCTAAGAGACACTTCTTCGCTTATAGCATTTACTGAAGACTTCATAGCTGCTATTAATTGAATAATAGCTGGTCGTATGCATAGGTTTTGTAGGATAAGCTATCGATTGTAACCCAAAAGCCCAGCAAAACATTGAATCACGAGGACCGACCACCCTCACTCATGTACTAGTTAAAATCAGTATACGTCACACTCTAAGTGTTAAAGATTTTTGCGCATAATGCACCCATATTCAAAGGGAAATGGTAGACAAGCGTCGAACGCGGCCATCCTAGCGGAAGAGCACTCGGTTGCGTATCCTGAAGAAGTTTTTTATTTCAGATAATAAAAACTAAAAATTTAATTGCAACAAGTCATACCTACTCGCTCAGTAAGTAGGAGTAAATTAGTAAAGGTTTCTAACAAAATAAAGTATTTGGTTAGCAGATGCAGGATTGATTGTTCAGGTAACTTATGAACAGAACCCAAACAATACTTCAAGCTCAGCTTAAAACGATAAGGTGTGAAGCATTGGGCGTTGATCTTGGCTGGGCAATGCAATGGACGCTATTAAACATCGTCGGCGGTGATTGAATGTATATTTGGCTCACACAATATGGATGTATGACGAGGTTGTTTTTATCCTCCCAGACAGATGTGGCATCAATTTACTTAATCCCTAAAGACAAAAGGCTGATTACTATGTGTGCGTATTTCAAGGTATCTCTAACCACTGGGCTACACGCGCTCTAACAAGGGCGCAGTTTCGCGAAGTATTGTTTCAATACCAGTTGACGTTTCTTAGAGTTGAGGAGATTACAATGAAATATACTCACGTTAAATGTTACAGCACGAAACCGCTTGTTAATGCTGTTTAAAGTGAAGAATTCCTGATTCATGAGGTCATGAGCATATACGACACTTCTGCACGTAGTGCTTCGAGACTTTACAGCTTCAATATGAGACGGTGTAAAAGTGACCACAATTTGGTAAGCCTACAACAAACGTGGTCAGGTAGAATACATGTAACTAAGTAGTCCAGCCTCTAACCTTTGCAAATGCTTCTTCCACACTTGAGGTTATGTTTGCATCAATGTCCAAAGTTGATACGTCGACTATATGAAATCCACGTTGCGTAGCATGTTGCCTTTAATTTCAATATTATAATAAGCTCAAATTTGAAACAAAAATTTGAATCAATGAACTGCATTTCTAGGGTTCATCCTCAGCTGGGACTTCTGAACTCCATAATTATTCTAATTAACTCGTACAACACACGGAGTATTGTTCTGGTTCTGGCCAGCGCTCTTCACGACAAGGCTAGAAGAAAGGTATGACGCTCAACGACTACCTAAAGCAAGCAGAACCCACTGGGCTACTTTTACACACAACAGGGAAAAGTGGAAGATTTACTGGCATGCGCTCGAGTCACTCGACGACTAAATACACGACAGATGATACAAGTGATACAGAGGAACTCGTTCAACAAACACCTATCTACCAAGAACAAGTCAAGTCGACCAAGTGATTACACTCACACGAATGATAACAGCGTTGTGGAGACAGTAAAATAGAACAAATACCTTAATTGTAACCACAATAAAAAAAAATTTCAAAGATTATGACGAAAGTAGGTATTTTCTCATTTGTAAAGTAATAATTTGCTCCCTCCTAAGCCACAGATTCATAAGTGACTTCGAATCTGCGAAATATCCATCGTTATAGTTCCCAGGATCGACTTTCTCTTAACCTCGGCATAGGAGTATGAATGTGTCGTTTTCTTGTTCAGCAATCGCGAGGTTTTTAAACAGCATACATTTACTTCCATAAAAAACACAATACAATACAACGCCAGCTGACGTTTCGCCAGTATCGCCTTCTTCAGAGCCGCTCTTTTCGTGACTTCCAATGAGGAAGTTTAGAACAGCTGATTATAGTCGCATGTGGTTGACGACTGCACCATCCCACATCAAAAATCGATGCGAACTCCTTGAGGCTTTTTGGATCAATGCCAAAAACCCTACAATGAATAGCAGGGATGAATGCCCGGAGGTCATACGCGACCTGATCCCTGTTCGCATCGATTTTTGATGTGGGATGGTGCAGTCGTCAACCATATGCGACTATAATCAGCTGTTCTAAACTTCCTCATTGGCTTGGATCAATGCCAAAGACCCTACAATGAATAGCAGGGATGAATGCCCGGAGGTCATACGCGACCTGATCCCGTACGTTCGCATCGATTTTTGATGTGGGATGGTGCGAGTCGTCAACCATATGCGACTATAATCAGCTGTTCTAAACTTCCTCATTGGAAGTCACGAAAAGAGCAGCTCTGAAGAAGGCGATACTGGCGAAACGTCAGCTAGCGTTGTATTGTATTGTGTTTTTTATGGAAGTAAATGTATGCTGTTTAAAAACCTCGCGATTGCTGAACAAGAAAACGACACATTCATATCCATCGTTATTTCCATCAACTCCACTCCTTTGACATTTTATATTCCAAAACTGGAAGGTTGACATCACCACTGTCCTAATTACTGCCTTTTTACTTAATAAGCTTCAGAATAAACATACAAATATTCCTTCTATGAAGATCCCGCCATGAAGAACTACTTTTTTCGAAGGCTATGATAGAAGAGTCTCTGAAGTTGGTTTCCTCGTCAATACAACCTTGCCGAAGAATATCGATTCTTTTTAAAAACGAATGAAGTGAACTGGTAACCCAGTGCTGAAAATTTCAGCATTAAGAATGTCTACAATCTTTGCTGCGTATTCAAATCTTCAGCTACGATGGAGATGATTTCGAAAGATTTTAAATGAACATTTATACAGAGCAACACACATCCATAATGTCATTGCGGCCAGTATCAATGAATGAAAAAATGAGAACAAATCTGGCAACTGGAAACGATGACGTCATGAACCATCCATGTCAGGTAAGGTTTACAGAACTCCTCATCCACGTCGACAGATACAAAACTAGCATTACTATTGCTACAACATGACCCAATAAAAGCCAACCGGCAATACTTAATGAAGCACTAGTCTGATCCTTTATACTCTATCAGTGCGAAAAAGTAAATTGGATGCAAAGGACACCCGCAAAAACAGTTGGTGAAACAGTGTTGATCAAGATGTGAAATTGGTGTCTCACAAACAACTTTGGACCAAAAAGGATACACATGATAGAGGCTGAGGAAGTAAATGCCCTCATGAAAGAAAATAAATTTGTAGAAGTCCCTTACTACGACTACTGAAGGGAAAAAAAGACAGAACTGAAACGTACATCAGATTCTTACGAAACCATTTGAAATCTCGGATCTCTTCAGAACCTTCCTCATAATGAACGAGAAAAATACCTGCAAAAAAATGTTTACTATGAAGTTTTAGTGAATACAAAACCGAAGAAATGACGGAAGTGATGAAGAAGACATAATCCCAAGTAAATAAGTAGAGGATAAAGCTCTCGACGTTAACCAATCTCTGTGGGATGCGCCATACATTCAACTTCATTAAGTATCGTTCAGAGGTGATTGAATGCATATCGGGCCTTTCACAATGACTCGCGGTGGCTTACCGATGTGTCGAATCAGTGCTGCTATCTTTCCAGACAAGTCTGGTACCAATTTGCCAACCTCGGCGGGATGGAGAGCTTGGTGGGCCAAGAGCGTGGAGATCGATTCCACGTGTGCGTTGCAGGGCGCCTCCAACCACTATGCCACACGCGCCCATACTTTTTTACTTTTATTATATTCGCAGGTACTGTCAACAAAACTATGGCCTTTCATCGCCCACTATCCACTTTTCTTTTATATTTGTTAAAATGAGCATGCCAGCTTACTCCTAACGGAATCCGTATTATAACCATCGTAAATCATGGAACTATTCATCAAAGACGTTGAAACGGAATTGATCCCAACATGTTCTGAACTAATAGGATAAAATTATAGTGCTACAAACAGGATAACATAAATCTGGTACTCACTCTCCAAAGCTCTAGTTAACCTTCCTTTTTGTTCTAGATTTTTCAACGAGTACAACATATCAATTCTTCTACACGCTTGCAGAGCTCCAATAAGATCTTTAAACGGAGTGTCCCGACATTTATTCAGAATTGCTTCCATAGGGCGTGCGTCATTACGTAATGACTGAAATCGGAATATCTTCATGACCACAACCAGCTGTTAATATTTCAACATAAATCTCGGTCTAACAAACTATATACCTATAAAACACAGCAGAGAGAATGGCAAAACGAAGGACCCACATGGTGCGGTGATGAACGCGTTAGCTCCCGGAAAGGGTAACAGCGCGTTAGGTCCCCACCGCAGACACCTGCGGTCTAGCGTTTTGCAAGTATCTCAGCATCATTTTGGTTGTATTTGAGAACTAATGAGTGGTTGAAGTATCGAATTATTCAGCCTATTCTTTCTGGTAAACGAAGACAACTTCACTATGCCTACAATAATCACCAAGCATTACACTAAGATCGTAACCTTTCCATATATAATTAATCACAATAAAGAAGTTCGCTGCGAAACGTGGGAATTGCTAAATCACTTACCATAATTTCATGATCAGAAATGTCGAGGTGAACACCAATCGAATCCCAATTTTTTAGTGATCCATAAGAAGGCATACTGAGATGAGAACTCAACAAAGCTAGAGCCTCGCTGCTAAGATTGCCTATTCTGAAATAGAATCTCGCAGTGGAGAACTATCGAAGCCTACCAGATGTTATAGGCTAACATTTGGTAGGCTAATCTGAAGACTTAGAATGTACCCAACACAAAACGGATTTCAAAAGGAAAAAGTTGGATGTGAAAACAAAAGTAATCACATATCACTAAGCTGGCATTAAACTTTCACGGGACAATTAGATAACATAGCACGGAAAAGCATTTGAAGACGTAGTCAGGAACTAAGACCTCAAATAACCTCAATTTGTCGACACTGGAAAGTCGAACTTCCTCAATACGTAGGGGCGGCCGTATCCATGGACCCACTTTTTTTGTTCTTAATTCTTTAGCACCAATCTCCTAAAGAGAATAATTGTGTCAGCGTACTTCCTTTCATTCAATTCCAATTTCAGAGCAACTAACCCGATCTACATCCTCATCAATTTCAATAGTAACACCATCATCAATGGTAGTAGAATTGCAACAGTCATTCTCCATTACTGCGTCAGCTCAAATCTTACGTCCTCTACTTTTTAAAAATAACATTCTAAAAGACCTTATGCCAATGAAGGAGACAGAGCACCTTAATAGAATTCTATACGGAAAAGAATGGGGTAGAAATATATGCCTTTGAAACGATGAATGATAATGAACGTCATGTACATGTTTCTGCCAGATGTATGTTGTCTTGCAAGGGCGTCTCTACCTTTAGCAATAAAATTTCTAAAGGTTGTCAAACAATTCATTAAATAATAAAGACAAACGATAGAACTAAAGATGGATAAAATCATCAACGTGAGCTGAAACACAACAACGTAAAGGTGTAAATAAAATTTTTTTAAAACTATGAACATCAACAAAGTTTAAAAAATGAGGTCATTCTTCACAGATTTCTCCTACATGGTGAACAGATTAATCGCAGACCAACTTGGATTGTCAACAGATGGAAGCTAAGAAAACGAAAGGCTGTTCGGAGTCATCTCCAACAAACCGGCTTCACGACTACTCCCATGAGAAGCTAACGTGCTATCCCAGGTTCTTTCCCAACCACTCCAGACACTGGAAACGAACATCTTGCTACTCTACCCCATATTGGAAGGAATGATGGTGTCAATGGATGAGAGCTGGGAAAAGAACGGAAGGTGGTTCCGAGTCGTCTCCGACAAATCAGCTTCACGACTGCTCTCTGAGAAGCTAACATGCTCCACCTGGTTCTTCACCAAACATTCCAGACCCTGTCGAAGAACACTTTGCTACTCTCCACCACATAAGAAAGAACAAAAATGAATAGCTCCATACGAAGTGTTTTCTTGCTTCTCGAGTTGACAAGACTATAAATGGTGTAACCGGAAGTATTTCTCTAAATCCAACGCGATCGAGAATTAATGTTCTGGGTACTCTGTAGCTGTTTAAAAGAAAGGTAAAGTATAAAAACATCTGTAAGGCTACAACACAGTTAATTCAAGACGGTGCTTAACTTAAGATTGTGTAAAAGAAAATCCCTAGAAGCCAAAGAATGGGAAAAGAAAAGAACAAAGCAATTTTCAGAAGCTAGTAAGAGTTTCTTAAAGACTTTACGTATTAGCTCATTGAAGAAGTTATTCCTCACGCTTACTTTTCCACTACAGAAAAAATTTAAAGAATAGATAAACAAATTCCTGACTCCTGCGGAATAACAATACCTTCATAAAGATAAGAAGCAAAAGCAAATGATTGGATAAATTTCAAATAAAGTCGGACACGAAAAACCCAATTGAAATTCTGTGAATCGACTAAAGTTACTCCCGTAGCTCTCTTTCTCGTTGAGAAATGTCTTCCATGGAGCAATAAGAGTGACAGGTCTCAGGGCATCGAGACATGAGAGAGCATTCCCACAGAATGCTGAGTATGTAGTTTCCAAATAACCAAAACTGAGGAACGAGAAACACATGTTTTGAAAACCTCCTGTGACACATTCAGAGGAAAGTGGTAACTATAGTCATCAACGACTGAGATCATTCGTCAATGTGAAAAAACTCCTGAGGCGAATTCCGGCATCTAATGCTGATTTCCAGCAAGTAGAGGCTGAAAAAAGATAATTTACTTCACTTAAGCACTCATAATCTGCACAGATTAAATAAATAAACTGCTATCAAGAAAACTGAATAAACAGAGACACTCACCGTATCCGTAATGTGGCCTACGTTTTCATTAATATCATCCACCTTAGGATTATCTACGAGGACTGCGTGTGCGCAATTGGCCTGGAATAGAAGCGCGTCTGGGTTTTCCTTAGAAATTTCATCCACCATAAAGTATGCAAAATAATGAACATACAGAAGAAAACAAAGGCTGCATTGTTAACGAATGAATCCCATGCTTGTGGAATATCTTGCGAATTTTTGGAGCTGCCGTATCGAAAGATGCCGGAGTGCAAAACTCAATCTAGAAAGTAAAGTCAAAAGTGGTAAAGAAATCTGTCGACAGTCGTAACACTTTCAGATTGTATAAGTTCTCTGTTGACTAAGTTCGTCACTATAATACGCTCATTCTTCCCAACGGTTTGCCGCCTCTTCGTAACTAGGTGTTACTAGGTGTTGGACTGCGATGCACAGCGGGGTGATTCGTCCCCTCGACAGAGTCTCCCAAGCTGAGAAGGATTTTCGTCAGGAAGCCTAGCTAAGAGTAAACCAATCTACCAGCATCCGCCACCGTTCTGGTATCAAAGTCGCTTGGTGGCAAATCTCCCTCTGATCCACAAGGGCTGCGACTGCCTGTAGTGGTGAAGACCTCGGGCAGACTTTAGCTAGGCTGACTTCGGTACTCCAGGGAGCCACAATAACTAAGCCATTAAAGCTCGAAAAACGTAAATAATGCTGGGACCCGCACAACCAGTGAAGACGGGCTGTCCAAGCATCCAAGTAAGCAATATGCTCATTTCAGGGATTAGCACAGTTTTGCTCTAGATAACATCGAAACAAAGTGCAGACTAAATTTGTTCAACAACGAAAATAAAAGTAATTACAACCCAGAGAAAATCGTACCTCTGCCGTTGCCAAATGACGATTTCCCACTAGAGTCCAAGCACAAACGTCTCTAACTGCGGCAACACCTCTAACCTGTAAAAAATCATTTTAAAAAGTCTTGGACATATCCATTTTGAATGATCGATAGATTGATTGGAGGCGAAAAGTTTCTATCATCGGCTATCCGAATACCTTCATGATATCAGTTTTGATATACTCAAGATCTATGAATGGTGGTGTACGACGAAGAATGATGCCTGCAGTTTCTTTCACCAGTGCGTAAGCAGAGAAGCAAATAAGTGTAACCAATGTTAGGCTAAAATAATCGGCAGTAAACCATATGTTATTAGAACAAAGATTCGTCCAGAAATAAGCACGAGTTGTAGGTTTAAAAACGTACAGCATATGTGAGCTAAGAGTTTCTTTAAAAAAAATAGGGCCTAAAACATACCTCAGAGCTGGATCCAAATAATTACTGAAGGGTCCAAGGGCTGCTGGGAAAAATAAAGCAACAGAAGCCGTCACAATTACGAAGAGTGATCCTATAGCATCCGATAAAATATGTAGAAACACACCTCGCATGTTTAGATTTTGTGCATCTGGAACTCTTGAGTTACCTTTCCGGAACCATATTTTCCATAAAAAACCACTTACTAGCTTGCTTCTGTTTGCGTCTTGCCGCTTCACTGTCAGTGAACTCTTCGATTTCTGCATTTTCATCAAGATTTACCAGTTTTAGAGCCAGATGCTGAAATAAATGCATTGTATCCAGGAAGTGCAAACAACAAACACATTCATCATTCAGTGTGATAAACAGCACAAAGCCAAAACCAGTCGAGAGATTAGAAATGTTAGTGGACGTAATTTAAAAATTCAACTAACTTACTTGAAACAGCTGTGTGATTTACTAAAAATCATTAATAAAGATATTGAGAAAGAGTGAAATATCATGCAGTTCTGGAAGAACAAGTCACGGTGATACAATGGACCAATTTTCGGTAAGTAAAGTATAATTAGGTACTCTCGGCTATTACTCGGATGCTTGGATGGGCCGTCTTCACTGGTTGTGTGGGCCCCAGCACAATTTCCACTTTTTCGGAATTTTGCTGGTTTAGTCATTGTGGTTTCCTGGAGTACCAAGGTCAGCGTAGCCAAAGTCTGCCCCAGGTCGTCACCACCACAGGCAGTCGCAGCCCTTGTGGATCAGCGGAGAGTTGCCAATATGCGGCTTTGATATCAGGATGGTGGTGGATCCTGGTGCTGCTTTACTCTTAGCTGGGCTTCCTGATGGAAACGCCGGAGTCCTCCTCAGTTTGGAAGACCCTGCCGAGGGATAAATCCTCCTGCTGTACATCCCAGCCCCACGCCGAGGAAGACCTCCCAGCCACGATGACGCGGTAGAGCATTGGGAGGTCATTAGAACCATACAGAAAAAACAAAGAAAAAACAGGACAGGATATACACGAGAAAATAAGGTGCATGCAAAACACACATTTCAACTATCAATAAAAGAAAAATAATTGAAGAAAACATGCGTAGTTCTTACTTGTTTCGATCCACTACCAACAATAAGGGAGAGCTAAAAACAAAACACATGACAGAAGGCGAACCAATAACCAATATACTTTCGAGTTAAAAGGGTCTTAGAAAACCGCACTAGTGACAGCAGCAAGGCGGTCACTTCGATTAGATACTGAGAACAAATCATTCAAAAATAGGGATCCGCACGCTCAAACCAAAACTTTTTTTGATCGGAAAAGTTGGGTCATAAAAATTTTCCAAGCCACAACTATCCCTCCAAAAACGGGAGGACCACTGGCTATTCTGTTAGCTGAACCTTATTAGCTAGCTTATTAGCTTATTCATACTCGTCTCAGATTTGTGACGAAATCTATGGCACGGTAGCATTTAAGAAAGACATGAGGAGACATTAAGTATGTTCTAATGTCTTCAACCGGAACTAACTACGTAGCCATGTAGTGCAGTGGTTAGCGATGCTGTTGATTAGGAAGTAAAAGCGCTATTCCGACTCTTTCTCCCACGCTGTGCTACAATCCAAGTGAGAACGCCCAACCCCGGTTATCCCAAGACTGCAGCAGCGATCGACTCAACCAGCATTCTACGACACTCATAAAGAAGATGAACACCTCAAGCAGCAACGGAAACAACACGAGAATTGTTCAAAAACGTCGTGGACGATAAACGTGAGGAAAACGAATGGAATGAAAGAAGCGCTGAGATGCACACGGTAGATGTGATCATGGGTGATTTAAAAAAGAAAACAATAGTTGTGTTCATCTACGTACAACTTCAGCTTTCTCCAACTGTGCAAATAGGACTTCTATAACGCTGAGATATTTGCAAAACTCCAGACCGCAGGTGTCTGCGGTGGGGAATGAAACGCGCTATTATCCTTTCCGGGGAGTAACACGTTCACCACCACACCATGCGGGTCCTTCGTTACACCTGTCTCTCGGCTAGTCGTATCGATCTTTTGCCAGCAGCAATCACCCATCTCACCCATCAACGGGATTGATCTGGGGAGCCCAAATCGGCAGACACCTGCGGCCCAGAGTTTTGTAAATATCTCAACATTATAGAAGTTATATTTCGCAAAATACCCTGCTGATAAAAAGAGTAGGCAGTAAATAAAAAGGTTGAGATTGTGCAAATGTGTTCCGACGACCTACACGAAAGTACGAAAATTGGTAGTACTATCTGCGTAGTATCCTGAAGTATTTCTTCAAGCATAAATTGCCACTTATACAAAAGCCGGCGGTGTAAAACAGATCCCTGCTGTAAGCTCAAAAAAATTAAACCAATGAGTTTCTGGATACTCAATTATACAACGTAACGTTGCTTCCCAAACCATAAAAAATGAAAAGCATAAAAAAGAAAAAAGACAGAATGCGAAAAAAGAAAAAAATAGTCTTATTTACCTCCCAACGGTTTACCGCCTCATCGTGGCTGGGAGGTTTTCCTGGGTGTCGGCTGCGATGTACAGCCGGGGGATTCGTCACCCCGGCAGAGTCTCCCAAGCTGAGAAACAGTCTGGCGTTTCCATCAAGAAGCCTAGCTAAGAGTAAACCAATACTAGGATCCATCACCATCCTGGTATCAAAATCTCATGAAGACAACTCTCCCTTTGATCCACAAGGGTTGCGACTGCCTATTGTGGTGACGACCTGGGGCAGACTTTGCCCAGGCTGTCCTCGGGATTCCAGGGAACCACAATGGCTTAACCAGCAAATCTCCGAAAAATGGTGATTATAGAGAGGTCCGCACAACTAGTGAGGACGGGCCGTTCAAGTAAGTAAATATCAAGTGACACTGACATTGTGCGAACAGTCTTGATCGACGCGACTGTGCGAACGGCTAGGCCGATTTATAAAAGCTGTGCCAGAGTCCGAGCAAAATTCATCCTCATCTTCATTATGCTCCTCTCCAGATGTATCAACGTTTTCTCCACCCGAATCAGCTAGTGTGGCCTGCTTTGCGACTGGCTAAAATAAAATTCATAGTAATCGAAAAGTATAAACAAATCCAATTGTTAGTGAAGCCGATGTACATCCATTACAGAGAAGAGAGAAACGCAGTAACCCAGGCAGGCTGCTGTGATAGTCATTTCTTGTTTTGCCCAAAACAAAAGGTCTTCGCGTTCCGCTTAGAAGTCAACAGGAAATTAGTAGAGTGTCAACGGCTAAGAGACGACCTTACAAGATTTTGGAGAAATAATTGAAAGAATGAATAGTTCATACCAAAATAGGATAACAGAAGTCGACACTGACCAGATTATTTATTAAGGATATCGTGAAAAATAACCTTTTTGACGTTATGACTATGTCCTCCGCTACCGTGAGAATGTCCATGACCACTATGAAACATGCCAATTCCGATCATATTGATAAGCAGACCAACGCATCCAACAGCGAGTACCTATAAAGAAAAACGGTAACGCCAGAAAGTAAGAATACGTAGTTTGAATTCACCTGAAGGGGATGTGAGATACTTCTAGGATGTATCATTCTCCCAATAGACTCAAGTGATATTGTGAAGCACATTGCAAGTAGAAAAACCCCGTTGACTAGAGCGCCCAAAACTTCGGCCCGCACCCAACCAAAACCATTTCTCTTTGACTTATGCCTTGATATCTATAAAAAAAGACAACATTTCATAATATACACATATATAAGCCAACATCTTCCGACATATAAACTCTTCTTTGGAGCTTCAACCTAAGTTTAATTCGATTGCACTTAGTTAGAACCTCAGCCTCTAGAGCTCTCGTAAGCAAAGCAAGTAAGAACGAAGCATAATCATTGATAAATGCAAAATTTTAGTAAGAAAATTACCCTCAAACACACAAATGCGATAACTAAAGCCATAACGTCGGACAACATGTGGTAGGAATCAGCCAGCAAAGCTATGGAACGGTTCATGAATCCAACAACCAACTCGACGAAGAAGAAAAGAAATGTGATGACTATCATTACCATCACTTTCTTTGAATTCTGACTGAAATGCTAGATGAATAGAACAGGAAAGAAAAACTGCTAAAGTATTGAAAGTCATTGCCACCATGAAAGATAAAGGATAAAGCTCTCAGCGTCGATCAGTCTCTGAGGAATGCGCCATGCTTTCGACTTCATCAAGCATCGCTGGAGTTGATTGAATGCATACCTGGCGCTTACAATGACTCGCGGTGGCCTACTGATGTATCAAGCCAGTGCTGCTATCCTCCCAGACAACTCTGGTACCAATTTGCCGACCCCGAGGGATGGAAGGCTTAGTGGGCCATGGGCGCGAGGATCGATTCCCCGTGCGTTGCGTTGCAGTGCGCCTTCGACCACTACGCCACACGTGTCTCGATTATCACCATAGTACTTAAGATATTTCGTACCTGACTGTATCATCTTTCTTCATGTCAACTTCAGCACATTCCGATTGCGCGTCGATCTGTGACATCAACTTCTGTTCTATGGCTTCATCGCAATGTAGTTTACATCCGGACTCCGAATGTCGAACGGATTCATTTGGAAGAGGCTAAGACAAAAGAACCAATAAAATTGGAACACAGGAAGATTTTACCTCATAAACCGACCGTCATTTAAACCCGGTAGTAAAATAACAACGAAGTAATCCACAAACAACTATCGACCATCACAGACTGGGGTCATCGGCTCTGATGAAGACGGGGACGTCGAAACGTTAGCCGAATAAGCGTTGTTTATCAAACTCAACAATTTAAACAGCTTAAGACCTCACTTTCACCTTAGTGAGAAAATACAAGGTTATTAACAATAAGATTTATTCAGTACAATACTTGCTGACATTTCGGCTCGTTTGTATTTCTTCAGAGCCCGAACGAGTCATATATTTAACACACAGCTCAGCTGATCACTTCACTAACTGCTAACCCAGGATGAAATGAATTTGGTACATAAACACTTAGTCGCCTAGTGTGAACAGCTTCTCTTAAACACTCACTGTCTCGACTTTGATAGAGTATTTTAGTTCTAAGCACAGTTAATGAAGAAAATATACCTTCAACGTATCCATTGTACCCTTATTTTAGAGTAGGGTGTTAAGCGATAAAGAAGTAGGTAGAAATTGCCGAGAGCAGTACAAGTACAATGGCCCGACCTACTGCATAGAGTGGACGAGTTCATGTGTGACCTCCTAGAGCTCCTGCTGCACCCAATAGTCCACTTGCTAATTTCCAAGCCAAGATGGATTCTAGTAGATATTTATGGTCATTTCGGCCAAATTGGTTTACTATCGTCTTAAATAGTATCTGAGTAACTTTACTACTTTTCACTTATGGATTAAGTCAGGTCATATCATTGCTAGTGAATCGTTCTTAAGCGCACTAACTGCCCTGACTTGATTTTACTGCTTATGTCATCGTATATCAATGTGCTTCCAAACCAAATACTGATTAGAATTAGGCTATAGTGAATTTAACCACCATACCTAAGAATACTCGTTTGATTTACAGCTACGATGAGATTCGATCCATTTGTCGTCGTGCTCACTAAGAAGTTTTTGCTTTCAGGAGTCTTGAATATTAAGTTTCATTACCTTAGACTAGTATTATACGAACGGTTTGAAATGCCTTTAACACAACAGGAGTTTCTAGCACCAGTATTGATTTGGACTCAGTGGAAGTTTTTGTTTATTGCTTTGTAAAATCGATATGCGCAAGTCAACTTCCTTCAGAAATTGTAAATTATTTATTGTTTCATCCGTGAAGTGATTCTGGCTACATTCCTCGTAATCGTCTTTTTCGACCCAAGACTTGTATACCTGGTTGGTCCGCCTTCACTCGTTGTGCGAGCCCTAGCATAATTTCCACTTGCTCGTTTAGCCATTGTGTTTCCTTGGAGTCCCGAGGTTAGCTAGGCCAAAGTCTGCCCCGGGTCGTCACCGCCACAGGCAGTCGCAGCCCTTGTGGATCAGAGGACCTACTTTGATACCAGGACGGTGGTGGGTCCTGGCATTGGTTTACTCTCACTTGGCTTCCGGGTGGAAGCGTCTGACGCCTTCTGAGCTTGGTAGGTTCTGCTGGGGTGATGAACTCCCCACTGTAGATCGCCACTCGACACCTAGGAACATCTCCTCACGATGAGGCGGTAAACCGTATATATACACAAGATGATTGCATTAGATGCACTTTTATCAGCGAAGTAGCGGTATCCATTAGCCAGGTTTTCGCATTTATGGGATAATAACCATAAATTTCAAGTCAGTCATTAGTGCTCAAAGCACTAAGTCTATTTTTCCGTTCTCAGAGTCTACTGAGTAGACATATTTATCGAATTTTTACAGTGGATGTGCTCTTTTTTAGAACGGAAAATATCCTGCTTTCGATAGGCTCTAGGACTAAGGCGTTTCCGCTTACAGTTACTTATTTAGTTCACTTATGTTTCTTTCGGTCTTCATATACACGCTCCTACCGGAAAGGTTTACCACCTCGTCATGGTGAGCATTGTCTTTGTGCGTTAAACTGTGGCACATAGCCGGGGTTCATTCGGAGATGCACACCGTGTGGCTTCGAAAGAGCTTCGTCTCTTCTCTCGAAAGATGAATTTGAAGAAGATCATCTATTGCTGCAATGACCGCTATGGTGGAAGTCTAGTGATGAAGGACGCAGTCTAACCCCTGTAAGGTCCACAAATTCTGGCGACAGTTAGTCGCCTTCTGTGGCTAAGTGCGCTGAGGTGTCACAAGGAAGGCGTTCACTGATGATCGGTCGAATTACTGATCAGTCACGATCAAAACAATCACAGGAGTTATCAATTCATATATAGAATACATCTAGCCTACTTTATTTCTTTACTTACGAGCGAGGTGACGTCTAGGGGGATTTCGCCTTCCTCAGTTCCTCGAAAGGTCAGGTTTGTTTAACCGGGTAGATTGCGGTCAACTTGACCTTTCCATGCTCTGAAGAAGGCGAAATCCTCCGAGACAGCTCGCTCGTAAATAAATGGAATAAGGATAACACCTCGTATTTGCTTAACAAGAATATAAAGAATTGTTCGATCAATGTCGATGTTAGTAGAATGTCTGTCGTGGGAATTACATTTAACCTAGTTCAGCGAAGCACCGTTCGTACGACCGTAATTATTCATTCTGCTGTCTCAATTGGAGAAGCATGTGATGAAAAACCGTTAAATAAAAACGTTACAAAACCGTTACAATAAACCGTTACATTTTGTATGAGATCGTCTCTTAGCTCATTTCTTACTAGATACATCAAGTACTCTTGTTCTCTTTAATAAGAATGTACAATATGGCTAAGAGAACGGCTAAGGAAGGGCCTCGGTTGGTGTGGAGCTCAGCTGGTAAATGTAATTGGAGGTTCGAAACCTAACAGAAGGTCCCGAATTTTGCCCATATCTTAACGTCTCTGTGGTTATGTGCATCATCTTTTATTCGATGTTGATCAAGACTATGCAATTCATCTTTTTCTCCATATTGTCGTACTTTGAATTCTTAGAGTGCTCCCGTAAAAGTAGTTTTCTTTGATGTGTCCACCCAAAGGGAGATTTCCATATCCACGACTCAGTCCCAACATCGAGGTGCACCCTTGGACATTCGAATCTCCCAGTGGTTGAGCCGAAACCAAAATCTTTATATATCTCCTCTCGGGTGGAAGGACAGCAGTTGCCATAACTGCTTTAAATGGAGACATTGATACTACCGTTCTTATTCGTAACTTTTTACCCCATTCTTATGTTACTATCTTCTGCTTCCTTTCAATATACAAATTCCGTGCTTTATCATGGCCTTTCAGTTCCAACTAATGCACGGGCCATATGTGGTACTTTCTCCGATTGCCAAGTCCCACCCTTTCGAAGAGCGTCGAGTTCATGTTGGTTCTGATGATGATCCACTAAAAATCGGTAGAGCAGTTGCCAGGCTAAAGGCTGCAAAGGACAATGCAATTTTTGATTGCAAGGTGGGCGTTGGCTTTATCATTCTTGAGAAGGTTCTTAGAACCGGTAGCCATCTTAAATACGAAAAAAAGGCTTCGATTCGTTCCTTTATGTTCAGGTACTTTCACGAAATCATGCCGTGTTATCATATCGAAATGGTGGTTTCTTTCTTCGCGATACGAAGAGCAGTAATGGCACCTTTGTGAACAATGAAAGGCTAGCCGTCACCGGTGAAGAATCGGAAGCACGGCAGATTTTCACTGGTGACATTGTTCAGTTCGGAGTTGAAATCGTGGAGAACTCGAATAAAGGTATCCCTTACTTATATTTTCGCCATAGAATCAGTTCTGATGCACGGTTTAAAGTGTTTTAGTACTTTTGGTCTTTTTCGGTTTTTAAATGTTAAGGTGGGATCTCGCTCGTCTGACTTTAACAAAATTCCCTCTATCATCGAATCGAAAGGGCGCGTGTCGCGCAGTGGTCGGAGGCGCCCTGTAATACGCATGAGATCGAACCCCGCGCCTCAGGTCCGCCAAGCTCTTCATTTTTCTGGGCTCGGTAAATTAGTACCAGACTTTTTTGTGAGGATGGCTTTACTAGATCGGGTAGACCACCGCTACTCATTATAAAAGTCAGATATACATTCAATCACCTCCGACGATCCCTGATGAGGTCGAATGCATGGCGCACCCTCAGGGATTGACCAACGTCGAGAGCTCCATCTTTTGTTTTTTTTAATCATCGATTCGATTAGAGCACAAAATCTAACGTGCTCGTTTCAGTGGCCCATGGCTGTATCTATGCTATGGTTCAGTTGTTTGATGCCTCTGGTCAGATGGTAGAAGGAGGAACAATTAGTAATTGTGAAATGAACAGGTATTAATAAAACGTTATTCTCTTCTTACGCTTTAAATTTACTCTGTTCGAAGTATATTTTCATTTGAGTTTTTTACCAACCTGTGAATCCTCCCTACTGAACAATCAACAGTTGTTCCAAATTCAGCAGTATCTATCTGAAGCCCTGTACAGGTTAGCCATACAGTTTTCAATAATATAAAAAGAACGAGACAGGCATAGGTTAGTGAGACTCTAAGCTCTTCTACTCTCGGTTCGAAGCTTTTACTAAGTTTCTTAAGAGAAGGAGCGTGCCAGCAGAAGTTGGAATCCTTAGAAAAATTGTTGGAGGCCACTGAGCACGCGTCCGAGGCAGCATGGAAAGCCCTCGTTAATGAAGATAGACTGTTATCTAGGTTCGTTTTTTTTTATTGTTTCAAATGGATAGCCTAGATGTTCTATCCCTAATGGGAAGGTGTTATACGCCGTTAGAGTGACTAATGTTGAGAATCATTTGTCGTTTTAATAGAATCGAGACACTCGAGGCTCAGCTGGCGACCTTTTCGAAGAATGCAACACCAGATAAGCTCAAGGAACGAATCCGTGCTTTGATCGACGATAATGCAAAGTTTGAGCTTACATCTAAGGAGCATCTTAGGTTTGTGCGTTGTGATGTTTTAGTCCATATGATATGTTTCCTATTCAATTCTTTGTCGGGATTTGTTGCAATTTGACATTTACTCTAGAAGAGCACAAGAAGAGCGGGCAGAATCGGCCTTGAGATTAGCAGATATTGACAGAAGCCTCGTTTCAACTGAGGAAGAGTGTAATCGTTTACGTGTACAGGTGAGTTTTCGAGAATGACTTTGTCATAATGTCTCTTGTTGTTTTTTTAATTTATGGAATTGTTTGTGAATTTTTAAAGGTACAAACGCTAGAGGCTAGGTTAAATGAAACCGTCAAGGTGTACGAAGCGAAAGCTAATGAGTGCAATATGTCTCAGGTTGCACTTGTCGAGGTATTCATAATATCGTGGTATCGTTAGTTTTAATCTAACTTTTTATCTGCTGCTATACTTTTAGCGAAATCGCTTTTCAGGTTGAGAAAAGACTCTCATTAGCGGAGCAGAAAACGAACATTGCTGAATCTCGACTAAATGAGAGTGAATCGAAAAGTGAGGCGTTACATTTGTGTGATTTCTTTCCGACTAACACCCCAATACATCGATTTGTCATTTTTCAGCCTATTGAGGAGCATAGATTTTTACGCTTTTTTTCAGCTCAGCACGAACGTTCTGTGTCGTCGTTAGTCCGACTTCTTGTCAACGCTTTAAACAACGACCCAACTTTGAATGAATGTGATCATTGGTTAACGATGTTGTATGAGATGCTTAGAGAACGAAATGGAATGTCTGATGCCGTTCCCGAACCACCTGTCATAAAGTCGTCAAAAATTGACACGGCTGCTGATGGTGACCCTCATCTTCCAGTATACACATATACTTTTATATATATATATATACATATACATGCATACACGCGTATGTATGTATATATGTGTGCATATATGTATAGATATGGATATCCATGATTGTATATGTAATTAGTTATATATACATGTATTTATATGCAGAAGTATATTTGAAATATATAGATGTGTATATTATGTATACGCACTCGTGCACTAGTTTATTGTAAATGTGTAATTTTAGGAATCGTCGGATGCAAGAAATGTGAATATCTGGATGAGCTCAGTGCCCGCGAGGCTCTTATCCGGTCTGAGATGGAGTCGTACTTAAAAGAAAATCTCCAGTTGAAAGGTAGTTTTCGTACGCTGTCATCCCACAAAATTAGTTTATTAGTTGGAACAAAATCTATTATAATTTGCGGCTCTTCGCCTGCAGAAATACAAGTGCTCTTGTTTCACCAGTTTCGAATTCTTACTTACGGAACCCATGGCATATACTTCGTTCACCTGTTTGCGTCAAGCCTCGTATTTTGAACAAGAAAGCGACTGAACAAGAAAGTATACCCCACCGGAGAGTTGGTTTTCGTTTGGGATGGGTTTTTTAAAGATCCAATCTTTTTTTCCTTTTTCAATATCTGGGAGATTCAGCTCTGGACAGGTTCAGAGTTAAAGGGATCCTGTGCAAAATTTATACATTCGACGAAAATGATAGAGCAAAGTCGCGTTTGTAAAATTATACATAGTTCACAAATGCTCCAGTGATGGAGATATTAGCGTCGATTGCCGGAAAACCATTTTTGAGGGATACATGTTAATCCACTGTACCCTGGCTACCGTGTTGCATGGCTGGCCCAAGGGACAACGGCCAATATTTTGTGTCGTTAGGTTAAGATCGCTATGGACACCACAGTTTCCATCCTGAGTGAAATGGGTTGAAGATTTCAGTATCTTCTATGACGACATATTATTTATTGTTAAACTCCGTTGATTTTGTACGAGTACTACACTTTTGTGTTGAGGATCTCATACTATTGAAAACTGATAAAGTAAACTTTTTGTTCAGCGCGTGTGCTTGATTTGGAGTCCGCTCTTGCTGTTTCTGTGTCTCCATCGAGCGGCATGTCATGGAATGGTAGTCTTGAGTTGGGCAGTCCTCATTCATTAGGCACCTCTCCAGCAGTGAAGAAGGTCCATAACCAGATTGCAGCACCTACGGTTAAGTCAGAGCCGTCACGTGCTTTGGACAGGTTTCAGGATACGGTCAGTGTTTTTGTTTATTTCGGTGGCATGTTCCAAATTTGTCTGGTAATTTATGGAACTTTTTTACATACGAGATAAATATGGGAAAAGGTTTTCAAGTAGTTCATTGCACAAAGGAATCCTTAGGGAATGAAATTCGCTATCTTGCAATTGTATCTTTTCCACGACAGTGTGTGGCTGTTTTTTCTGTATTACTAAGTGGATATTAGGGACAATTATTAACCTGGGTGACCCTTTGAATAAGGCCACAACCCTTTAACGGGATTCGTTTACAGCTCAGTGATTGGGTTAGTTTTTTCCATAATGTGGTATTTTCGTGACGATTAACCAATTGAGTTCACTAAAACCTTTTAAACTGCGATGTACAGCGCGGATTCATCCACTGGCAGGGTCTCCCAACTTAAGAAGGAGTGCAGCGTTTCCATCAGGAAGCCTCGCTAAGAGTAAACCAATACCAGGATCCACCACCGTCTTGGTATGAAAGTTACATGGTGGTAAATCTCCCTCTGATCCACAAAGACTGCGACTGCCCGTGGTGGTGAAGACCTGGGGCAGACTTTTGCCAGGCTGACCTCGGGACTCCAGGGAACCATAACCATAATGGCTTAACGAGCAAATCTCCAAAAATGGAAATTATGCTGGGGCGCGCACAACCAGTGAGGACGGGCCATTCAACTATCAAGTAAACAAGTAAAACCTTTTAATACCGTTAATTGTTCATTCGACATCCTAGGAAACCGCAGGAAATTTAAACATTGAGAGGGTGGTTTTTTAATGGTGCATGTTCACACTGTGAATTAATGTAATATGAGTCTCAACAGTAATATGCGACCTATTTTTAAAGGATTTCAGTGTTTTTGACTACTTATTTTGCAGGTCTTCATCATATCTCTTGCACCTTTTCTTGCTATAATTCTATTGCTGCTTGCTCCATTACATACAAGGTTTATGCAGTACATTAAGCACGAATAGATACAGAAATCTGTGATATATCTTCATCACCACGGTAAGTAACCGTTTCGCGTTCTGTCATAGTATTGAAAGAAATCTTGGCATACATTCGACTTCGTTCGTCAGCGGAGGTCACAAAACTCTGTCAGCTGTTCGAAGATGGGTTACTGAGACTAGAAGTAGAGAACGTTTTCGACTTTGATTCATTCCAAAAAAGATTTTAATCGGCCAACATGCTGACGCCTTCACCTTATTCGGAGCAGCGACGATTAGAGTCGATTGATTACAGCCATTCGTTCTAATTGGAGCAGGGCTCCACTTCTGAAGGTTAGACTTGATACGACTATGAAGAGTAGCATCGCAAGGATGAGTGGCTGTGAATAGTCCACACGAATCATCGCGACATTGAAGAAGGCGAAGGTGCCGAAACGTCGTAGCCAAATAAGATATAAGCTGAGAAATTCAAAAAGGTGATTGTTTACTCATGCCTAGACTAAGTGATCGTCGGTTTACAGAATTACTATGCCACGAGTCAGACTTAGCTGTTCTGCTACACAGTGAGCAGTACTGTGTATATGAGCCCGCGGATGCAACTCGATAAGAACTGGTTTCTGATGGTTGATTTCAGTTATTGTTCTACGTGCTCGGAAATCTATAATCGCTCAGGCTTAATGTTGTGTTCCGTTGCATATCATATGCTTCCTTATGTTCGTCTGTGTTTGTTTTTTCCTGTGTCAGTTTCTCTCTGGATTTCCCTTCCTCTCTGGATCTAGGTTTGTATAAGCTAGTCGTCACGCATGTATGATGTGTTTGTACGTCTTTGTGATGAAGTATTAGTTTTATGTCATTCTTGTCTTACGCTTTTTTGCACCTCGTTATTTCTATTTCATCAGTTCACATTGTTTCTTTTCTAGGTACATTTAAATTTTTCTTAATAATAAAGTAATTTATTTGAAGTTCGAATGATTGGTCTGTCCCATCAGAAATGGTTTCAGCATGACATATCCGTATTTGTTCTGCTGACTATCGTGTAAGAGAATGATTACAAAGGATTGGTGGCGAAAATTTAGACAGAGTGCTCTACTTCTATGAGTAATGTCTAGAAGTAAACCTGACTGAAATGAAAGACAAAGTTCTCAAAGGACTTCAAAACTATAGGGAAAAGGTTGTTATACAACTAAAGAGTGTGGATCCATCGCCAAAACGAGTTGCAAGGAAAAGCGCCAGTCTTGGCACGGCTGGTAAGGGTGCCTACTATAGAAGGGTCTTCCTAGCCAAGGGATCAATAGTGATACAGTAAAGAGTAGAATAACGTCTATGAAAGAAAAGAAGACAAATCTGACGATTGATCGCATCGCCTGTAACGTGACAAATGCTCTTTTGTTAGATGGGAGGATAGAGCGAGGAAAACTGTGCTGGAGCACTGTGTCAGGGTGGATCGTTGAAGAATGCTGTTAGACATCGTGTTGGCAGTGATTTCATATCCATTTTATTTCTTAGCTGATACCCATGTCGACAATGCTTTTGAAACCTGGACGTTAGAGCTGCCAGGAGCTCCGAGGTGTTTGGTGCCACGCATTGGTATCAAGCTTGTCTGTGGGTATGGAAAGACTGACTTCGTACATCGGTAGCCCCTTCCAAGTCATTTCATATGTCATATATGCATACAAGCATCCCTAAGATACCTGAAAGAATTGAATGTTTGGTAGGTACATCCTGAAAGGATTGATTAACCCAGGACGCTTTGAAGCTCTAACAGTCCACTGATTAACTTTATCACAAAACGACTAAGGCTTGGCTAAAGTTCGTTTCATATCAACTATCATCAAGGATCAAAAGATTTTCATTCAAACCTGACTTTCCTTTAACCTCGTAGTGACCAATCAATATGCATTATTTCCTTGATAAGCTTACACGAGGCTTCTAAGCAATGGAGGCTCGTATAAGCTTATCAAAGGAAGAATACGGTTTCTGTGTGACCTAAATACAGTGCAGAACCTTTTCAAAGGTTCTTAAAGAGTTGCTGTTGTGGGATTTGCGCCATGCAAGTAGTGGT